CATGTACCAATGGCCCAAACAACTGTAATCATCATGTGTCACAAACATGTAAAAGTTAAAAAAAACATGGCTTGGCAAGTAGTAAGTACTATACAGATATTTGTACACAGATAGAGAGATAAATGCACTGGTAGTAGATAGAAATACCTCAGACATACACATCTACATGCATGTATTTACTGTCATAGCAAAGAATTCACAATTGTGTCCATCTCTCACTGGACTTTATCTCCAGTACTATAAAAAATATTTGTGTTTTCTTCCCTGCTATCCACTCAATTCATTATTAAAGTTGTGGATCCTAAGGATTTTAATCAAAGCACTCATGCAGTTAGGAAGAATTGGACCTTAAAAGAAAGTTTAATTTCAACCCTTAATTTTCAACTTTGTATCATGACCCAGACCACTAACACTTTATTTCCCAAGAAACATAAAGTGGCAATTCATCAAAGTCAGGATGGATGCCAATATAATTACCCAGCTCGTTATTGGAGAGGATGGTGTCACCATATGTAAATTTGGGAGGTGCTAAGATTTAAATCACAAAGATCACTTGCAAATATCCAACTTCCTATTTACTCTTTTTTTTTTCTGGTGGAACCGAGAATTGAACTCAGATCCTTGCATTTGCCAGTCAAGTGCTTATCCTACTGAGCCATCTCCCCTGCCAAATTCTTTTTTTTTTTTTTTTTTTTGTAAGGGAAGGGTCTACAGGGTGTTCAGGGTCTCACTACTAGATTGGACTCGTAGTGATCCACCTGTTTATAGCCTCCCAAGAGCTGGGATTACAGGCATGTGCCACCATGTCCAGACTCAATTGCTATCTCAGCATGCCCCGGGGGTCAGTGCTGGCACGGCAGGCCCAGGGATTGAACCCCAGCCCTTGCACCTGCTTGCAGGCCCTTTAATCTGCTGAGCTATTTGGCTGCCCCCCATTTACTGTTAATGGCAGATACTTTATAACATTTAAATGAACTCCTTAAACCACTGGGTTTGTTGTTTTTTTTTTTTTATAATTTATGGTTTTGTAGATTTAAAAATAAATAAGTGAAAAATAAAGCCATATAAGAAAATTTGGTATAATTTAACCACATCAAGAGAACTATTCACTTGTTCTATAGTTAAAAACAGGAATTTTATACTTTCTCTTTCTCAGTGTTCAAATTTTTTTTAATATCTTTATTAGTCTTTGCATCAAAAGAAGAAGCGAACTTTTTCATACATCGCCGCCTCCTGTACAATAGGTTTGATTTGGAGCTTTTCCTTCCCAGTGACCTAGAAAGAGAATGCAATGAAGAAGTTTGTAATTATGAGGAGGCCAGAGAGATTTTCCTGGATGAAGATAAAACGGTAATTTGTTTATGTTAATCGGCTGGAAACCTATTAAGTTATACTGAAGGAAGTGACACTTTCATTTATTAAGTATTTTATGCTTTAAAGAAAATCAAGGCTGTATACTTTCATCTTTTTCTACCGCCTTTAAATTCTAATTTACGTACTTAGACTTAGTTTTGTCCTTAATTAGCTGAGCTTACCTTAGTTAGCAAATGATGAGCCATGCTGTGATTTTGTGTTTTAATGTTTATTACATTCAAAAACAATGTCAGGACAGAGTAAATTAAACTTCAAGGTATTATGTAGGACTAAGAATAGTCTCAGTGGTAGAGAGTTGCCTAGCATGTACAGAGCCCCAGGTCAATCCCTAGCACCCAAAGTGTGTTGGGTGGGGCGATTATTTGGATTAGTACTCTGACTCAAGCTTCAATTATTTATAAATATGAGTAATCTCTTCTATCTGTAATTTTACCTTTTTTTCAATTACCAGTACTTCTATCTCAAGTATTTATTGTCAATGTATTATGTGTCAAATGCTGTGGTAGCACTAAGGATATAAAATATATAACCCACCCCCAGCTGGCTATGATGGTAAATGCCTGTGATCTCAGAACTCTAGGGGCTGGGGAGATGGCTCAGTGGAATAAATGCTTCCCTGGCAAGCACAAGGGCCCTAGTTCAACCCCTAGTTCCACCCAAAAAAAAAAAGGCATTCACTCAGAACTCTAGGAGGATGAGGCAGGATTCCAAATTTGAGCCCAGCTTGGATAACTTAGGGATTTGGGGAAACCAGTTCTTTAATTAAATCTTTTTTTATTAATTAATTACTTTTTTTTTTGTTTGTTTTTCAGAACTGGGGATTAAACTCAGGCCCTTGCACTTGCCAGGCAAGCGTTTATTCTACTGAGCTATCTCCCTGGCCCCTTCTAGTTAAATCCTGTTTGTTCATCTTATGATATAGAAAATAAATAACACTATGCTTGTTATAACCTGGCATATTATTGAGGGCTATTAATTGATCCAAATTCCTTACTTTTGTAAGTAAAATAGCCCCAGCTCCTTTCCCCCATTTCCAAGTATCCTATTTTACTTTTTGCTCCATAAGGACGTCCCCAGTTACCCTGCAAATGCAGGTAGGTAGTAATGGAACTCGGTTCTTTGTTCTCCCATAATTGTGCCCAGCCGCCTATTGCCTCCAAGTATTTGCCACACCTACTAAAGTGGGGCAACAGCTGGGCATGTGCATGCGTGTCTATAATCCCAGAACTCTTGAGACTGAGGCAGGAGGATGGAGCATTCGAAGGCAGCCTGGATTACATAGCAAGAGCCTGTGGCAAAGAATGAACAAATGAAGGAAGGAAGGACAGCAGGGAGGGAGAGGGGAAGATGGGAAGGAGAGAGGAAAGAAAGGGAGGAGGAAAGAGGGAGGGAGGGAAAACAATTAAAGTATGTACTTTGCAATTGTGTCTGTCAGGGTTTTATTGTTTTTTACAAACTCATCTTCTCATTTTATGACAGTTCCTCAAATATCTGCTTCTGTTCTGTGAAGTGTAATTGAATTTAAACTGTCTTGGGGATGTCTTTTCAAGGTAATGAGCATCTTGGAATAAAATCTAGCCAGCTAGGGGCCTTCTAGCAGAGAAGAGTTCAGACTCTTTTAAACCTAGTAATGGGCCCAAAGCCTCACCCTCCACCTAATTTAGTTCTTCTGCCAGCTCTCAGGTGCATTGGCCTCCAAATGCCTTGGAGGGGGTCCCAGATAGTGAAGGGAGTATAGCAGGGCACAGAGGCAGAGATCTAGGGCCAGGAGTAATCCCTCCACCTTGGCTGGGGAGATAGCTCAGTGACATAAGCGCCGGCCTGGCATGTGCAAGTTCTCAAATTCAATCCCCAGTACCGCACAAAAAAATAAACACAGTGGGGCTGGAGAGATGGCTCAGTGGTCTAAGGCACCTACTTGGAACAAGCTTGGCAAAACATCAGGGACCGCGGTTTGATCCCCCAGCACCACATGCCGGCCAGCCACGCCCCCTGGTGGGCTGAGCCGGACACACACACACACACACACACACACACACACACACACTAAATAAATGTTAAAAATAAATAAATAAATAAATAAATAAATAAATAAATAAATACAGTAATCCCTTAATCCCAGGCCACAGATAGCAACTGGTAGCAGTGGACAGTGCTTTAGAGTGAGCCATTCCCTTTGATTTGAATGAATTGGTGTCCTGTCTGCGGCTCATACAAAGAATTTACTGCCCTAGTCTGGGTGTGGTGGCACACACCTATAATCCCAGCACTTGGGAGGCCGAGGCAAGAGGATTGCTTTGAGTTCCAGTCCAGTCTGGGCTACAAAGTGAATTCAAGGCCATCCTGAAATGCATAGTGAAAGCTTGTCTCAAAAAGACAAAAAAAGGGCTGGGGAGATAGCTCAGTAGAATTAAGCACATGCCTCTTGCCTGGCAAGCGCAAGGGTCTGAGTTCAATTCCCAGTTCCACAAAAAAAAAAAAAAAAAAAAGAATTTACTGTCCCATTCGTCAATGGGAACAAATGATTTGACTTTTTTCATTGTACCACTGCTCCCAGTTTCGGTGGTCAACATGGCATGTGGTACTGGGGATCGAACCTATGTCCTTGCACTTGCCAGGCAGGAGTTTAGACTGCTGAGCTATCCCCCAGTCCCGGAACAAATGAAATAATAACAAATTACATAAACTTGGAAATTTTACCTTTTTTATAGCTGGAATTTTGGAACAAATATTCAATTAAAGGACCAACCACAAAATCAGGTAAGGCAAGAACTGATGAAATTTAATATTTTTCTCATTCTCTATTGCAATACATTCATTATATTTACATTTTTGGTGTAATATATTTTAGTTTTATTGCTTGAGCTTGATTATTGTTCAATGTACTTTGTAATTCTAATGATGTCTCAATTACACGCCAGGCTATCTGAGACAGAGAAGGTTACCTTTAACCATTTACACATTGAAAATCAAGTTTGGTGAGATAGTAGCGAAATGAGATAATAGGCATAAAGCTGTTTTTAATTGCTCAGCTAAGTCAGGACTTGTACAGAGTATGAGTAGGACTCTTAGTTTCAAATCAGAAACAACTTTTTCCTCTTTTTTACTATTACAAGTGAGTGGAATACACATGCTAGATAGATTAAGACTCTTAGATAAGGGCAAAACTCAGTGGGTGCTTAGCATGAGCAAGGCCCTGGGTTCAGGTCCCACCACCAAAAGAGAAAAGAGGAAAAGGCTTTGGATAGAATTAAGTAACTTCTATAAAAGAGAAATCTTTCATCTTGTCTGTATTGGTCACTCCTGGGTGCTTTTTAATTTTTTTAATTTTTGATTAATACCTAGAAATTGTACATATTTAAGGAATTATATTGTGACATTTTAATATGTATATGCAACATATCTATCGCCTCAAACATTTGTCATTTCTTTGTAGTAAGAACACTCAAAACTCCCTTCTAGCCAGGCACGGTGGCACACCCCTGTAATCCCAGCTACTCAAGAGGCTAAACCAAGAGAGAGAAAGTTCAGTGCCGGCCTGGGCAATTTAGCGTCTTGTTACACTGTCAAAATTTAAAATCTATAAGGGTTATAACTAGGTGTGTACCACCAGAAAGCTTTATCTCTTTTAGCTATTTTGAAATACATAATAAATTATTGATTATAATCACCCTCTTATTATAATTATTAATTATAATCACGCTCCTTGAGTGTGCGCTGTAACACACTCAAAATTATTCCTCCCAGCCAGCCATGGTGGCACAACAAGCCTGTCATCCACACAATGAGTGTAAGAACACCTTGAGCAACATAACAGACTCTATCTCAAAAGAAAAAGGAGAAATTACTCTTCCTATGTAACTGTAATTTTTTTTTCATTTGTGTATTTGGTGCAGGGTCTCAGGGAAAAGAAAAAAGGAAGTGTGATTTGGGGCCAGGGATATAACTCAGCAGCTTACACGCCTACCTGGCTAGTGCAAGGTCCTGAGTTTGATCCCTGGTACCAGAAAAAGGAAAAAAAAAAAAAAAAAAAAAAAAAGGAAGTATGGTACAGAGTCTCACTATGCAGCTCAGACTCATAGTGATCATCCTATTTTCAGCCTCCCCAGCACTGGGATTACAGGAGTGCACCACCATGCCCAGGCTCGGGGTGGCTGGCTCAGCATGCCCTGGACGCAGGGCCAGCATGGCATGCAGGATCAGGGATTAAACCCTGGTCCCTGTGCTTGCCAAAGCAGGTGCTTTAATCCATTGAGCTATTTGGCCAGCCCTAGCACAAGAGTTTTTTATGGAAATAAGTTCAGCCACGGGTGACAGGGCACACCAGTAATCTTAGCACTCTGAGAAGCTGAGGCAGAAGAATCACATGCCTGTACAAAGTAGTTAGCAAGACCATGTCTTAAAATAGAATTTTTTAAAAAGGCCTGGGGAGGTAGCTCTGTTGTGGGTTCAATCCCTAGTACTGCCAAAAGAACAGCAACAACAAAAGTATCAATGATTAAACAACTGGAATCTCATTTTATTAAAAAGCTTTTACACAGAGAAACTACCAAGAGAATGAAGAGACAACCCACAATGTGGGAAGAAGATGTTTGCCAGATGTTCCTCAGACAAGGGATTACTATCCAGAACATATGAAAAGCTCAAAAAAATCAGACCTCCCAAATTTAAAGACCCAATCCAAAAATGAGCAGTACTTCTCAAGTGAAGAAATACAAAGAGCAAATAAATATATGAAAACTGTTCAACATGGGTGGGCATTTGGGTTGTTGCCAAACAGGGGGATAATTCAGTAGCATGGCAAGCACAAGGGCCTGAGTTCAATCCCTGGTTCCGCCAAAAAAAAAAAATGTTCAACATCACTGGTCATTCAAAAAATGCAAATTAAAACAACCCTGAAGGCTGGTAAGATAGCTCAGTGGACTAGGTCCCTGTTGAGGCAACTGCAGGGACCAGGGTCCGATCCTGGCACCACATGCCACTGTGGCCCTGCCCCCAGGTGTGCTGAGCTGGCCACCAAGACCCAGCATGGTGGTACATGCTTGTAATCCCAGCACTGGGTAGGCTGAAAACAGGAGGATCACTAGGAATCTGAGCTGCGTAGTGAGCCCCTGGAGCAAATACATAAAGAAAGAAATAAAAAGAAAGAAAGAAAACAACACTGAGATTCCATCTGACCCTGGAAAGAATGGTTATTATCCAGAAATCAAGCAATAACAAATGCTGGAGGGGCTGAGGAGAGAAAAAAAAAAGCCTTCTCCACTGTTGGCAGGAATATAGACTGGTGCAACCACTGTGGAAATCAGTGTGAAGATTCCTCAAAAATTTAGGATTACTGTCCCATTTGATCCAGCTATTCCCCACCTGCATATCTTCCCAGAAGAATTAAAAACATTGTACCACAGGGATACATGTGCACCCATGTTTATAGCAGCACAATGTATAATAGCTAGATTTTGGAAACAACCCAAATGCCCATCCATGATCCCCAATGCCAGCTCTGGAACCAAGAATGGCTGTGCACGCCTATAATCCCAGCACTGGGGAGGTTGAGACAGGAGTATCACTGAGTCTAAACTGCGTAGTAGGACCCTGTATCAAATAAATGAACAACAACAATCAAATGCCCATCCACTGAGTAATGGATAAAAAAGATGTTGTCTTTTTATATAATGGAATACTACTCAGTCATAAAGGATAAACTGGAGGGGCAGCCAAACAGCTCAGTGGATTAAAGAGCCTGCTTAGGCTGACACAGGGGCTGGGGTTCAAGGCCGGCCCCGCCTCCGGGACACACTAAAACGGCAGTTGGCAGTTGAGACTGGGTGTGGTGGCACAAGCCTGTAATCCCAGCACCTGGGAAGCTGAAAACAGGAGGATCACTAGGAGTCCGATGTATGCAGTGAGAGCCTGTAGGCCCTGTAGACCCCGTCCTAAACACCAAAAAAACAAGGATAAACTGGAGACTTCGATAGGTAAATGGATGCCACTTGAGACCATACTCCTAAGTGAAGTAAACCAGAGGCACATATATAAACATCGTATTGTCTCAATGAGAAGCTGAAAGAGTATACAAAATCCAAAGTGTACAATAGATATGGTAAAATGAAAAGAAGCTGTTCAAAAGAAAAGAGAAACTGGGATGGGAAAAGGAGAAAAGAAGAAAGGGAAAAGAAAAAAATATATATATGATACTTATACTAATTCCTCTTAGTTCATTGAAAAGAAAGGTTTGCTTGGACAATTAAATGCCTATATTTTGTACTCTATATAATTTAATTTAAATATAACAATATGCAATGTAGGGCTGGGGATGCAGTTCAGTGGCATGAGTGCTTGTCTATCTATATCTAGATCTAGATTTGTATAGATATAGATACATCCCACAGTATATATATTAACCATTGTTACTCTCCTAATATTGTGCTTTGATGTTTTGTTTTATTTTTTAACATAAAATTTAAAAAATGTTAAGGATTAATGATTTGATGCTTAATAATGTATTAAATTTGTTGAAAGAACAGATGATGCTTTTCAGGTATTATATTTACATTATTTAAATGATTTCTCTTAAGACGGCAACGGAGAGAGGACTGATGCTATTCGCATTCTGATTGGAATAATTGCTGGGGGAACACTTTTGGTTATTTTTGGACTGTGTTTGTATTATGTTTGCATAACCAAGCATAAGAGACGACCACATGCAGGGTAAGTACTGAGTAAAAATATATAATTCATCCCTGGACGTTCTATATTGTTATTTTTCAATAAGTCAAATATCTATTCTTAAATGAACTTTTTATTTTGAAATAATTTTAGATATACAGGAAGGTTTCAGAGGTATTACAGAGAGTTCCTATGTATCCTTTTTCCCCCCATGTATCTTTTAACCAATCCTCCTATACCACCAGCATCTTACATTACCATAGCCAATTTGTCAAAATTAAGAAAATAAGATTTGTCCCTCCCCATTAAGGACTCCAGACTTAATTTCAGCTTTTTGTATTAAGAATCGAACTCAGGACCTTGCACTTGGCAGGCAGGCACTGTGCAGCCCCTTTATTTCAGTATTACAAGATTTTCCATTAACATCTCATTCTGATCTACCAGGTCGCATTCCGTTGTTTTGCCTTCCCTGGCCCCACCAGTGTGATGGTTGTTTGTGACTTAAAACACGTATTAACAGCTGAATGTTTTTATTTCTAAGAGTCCTTCAAAAAAGTACAAAGAGGGCCAGGGAGATAGCTCAGTGGCATAGGCGCCTTCTTGGCAAGTGCAAGGTCCTGAGTTTGATCCCTGGTACCACAAGGGGGAAAAGAAGAGTACAACTCTACCTTTTTTTTTTTTTTTTTTTTTTTTTTTGCAGAACCAGGAATTGAACTCAGGCCCTTGCGCTTGCCAGGGAAGCACTTATTCCACAAAGCCATCTCCCCCGCCCCACAACTGTACTTTTTATATTGACTTAGTCATGTGATGTATCTTTTCAGCAAAGTGAACAATGTCTTTGTATTTATAGACTAGAATACAATACAATATGTAGAGTAGAATAGAATAGAATAGACAGAATAGAAAAATTTTAGTAATATTGAGGGTTGATCCCAAGAAACACTGAGCTACATCCTCAGTCCTGTTTTAAACTTTTGCTTTGACATAGGATCGTTCCCAGGCTAGGCCTGAATTTGCAATTCTCCTGTCTCAGCCTCTCAAGTAGCTGAAATACAGGTGTGTGTGACCACACTTGGTAAAAATATTGCTTTCCCATGCAGTTCAGATAGCTCAACAGACTAAAGCGCCTGCTTAGGCAGGCACAGCAACTGGGGTTCGATCCCCGGTGTGCATGTTGGCCCCACCCCAGGGGCACGCTGAGACAGTGACTGAGACTGGGTGTAGTGGCACAGGCCTGCAATCCTAGCGCTTGGGAGATATATATTACACACATATAACATACATATAATAAATATATATCTTCTCCTACATAAAGGAAGATTATTTTTCTTCTAAATTGAAGATAACTTTCAAATCATGTCAAGCAAAATTGAAACATAAAACATCTGGCCTGAACTTTTCAACAAGTGTCAGTGTTACAAAAGACTAGGAAACTAAAGTACTGTAGGGTATGGTCTTTGTCAAGTTCCTCCAGGGTGTACTGGGGTCAAGGCCAGAAAGTGCAGAAGGGGATGGTGCAGCCCACCAACCTCATCTTCAATGCCCAGTCCCACATGCCACACTGGCCCCACCCACCCAGACACCACACTGAACCAGGTGACTAAATCCAGGTGTAGTAGTGCATGCCTGTAATCCTAGCGCTGGGGAGGCTGAAAACAGGAGAATCACTATGTGTCTGAGCTGCATAGTGAGACCCTGTACCAAATATATAAAAAATAAATAATAATAATATTAATATTAAATCAGGGTTGAATTTCACAAATTTGAAAACTTATGTGCAGATCTTTTCAAAATATGTAATTATGTAATAGTTCCAAAATGTAATTGGTTATAATTTTAAAATTGGTTATAAAAATACCTAGTGAAAACCAGAAAGCATCAAGTTATATTTAGGGCTAGATTTATACTGAAGAGAAATCAGAATATAAATATATTTAGGGCTAGAGACGAAGCACAGTGATAGAACACTTACCTAGCATGTGAAAAAAAAGAAAAGGAACTTCTTAGGTAGGGATCCGTCACAGGATCTTTCATGGCTAAGCGAATGCTCTGGGAGCTACACTCCCAGGTCTAATTGATTAAATATTATGGCTTTGTTCATTTTAAAGGAAAATTGTACAGTTAGTCAAATCTAACTGCTATGTAAGTATAAACAAATGGGAAAACAGAAGGGCTTAATTATAGGGGTTCAAATTAATTAGGGTAAAGCTGTTCTTAATTTGTAACAGATGTAAGTGAAAAATAGAATAATTTGTTAAAAGGGAAAGTTCTCACATTAATTCTGCCACTATTTAATTATAGGTCTTTTTTATTAGTAATATTAGGAATTAAGGGCTGGGGTGATAGCTCAGTAGAATAAATATTTGCCTGGCAAGTGCAAGGGCCTGAGTTCAATCCTCAGTTCTGAAAAAAAAAAAAATAATAATATTGGGAATTGAACCTAGACTTTCTCACTGAGCTTTTTTGAGACAGAATCTCCCTAAATCACTAAGCTGCCTAGGCTCTGCTCAAACTTGTGATCCTCCTGCCTCAGCCTTCCAGAGTGCCAAGATTGTAGGTGTGTACTATAACTCTTGGATTTGACTACAGATCTTAAGGTAAATTTCTTGATTTTTTTTTTTTTAGCTTCCCTTAGCTATAAAATGAAGGGAATGGCTCTGACTGCTCTTTAAGTTCCACCATCTCTTTTTATTTTGCCAAGGACAAGAATAAGAACAAATTGCACATCATTTGCTATTAGTTTGCAAAAATTAAAATTTTCAAAGTTACTCATTCCAGGGAGCCACGAGATAGCTTAGCAGCCTAAAGTGCCTGCTGACGCAAACTTAGGCAAGTGCATGGACCCCAGATCAATCCCTGGCACCACATACTGCACCAGCCCTGCCCCAAGACAGGCTGAGCTGGCCAGAGTCCAGGAATGGTGGTGCACACAGGTCTGTAATCCTAGCGCTGGGGAGGCTGAAAGCAGGAGGATCACCACATAGTGAGACCCTGCAACAACCAAATGCATTTTTAAAAAAAAAATTTTACTTATTCCAAAAACTGTCTTTTAGTTCTTTTCTTTCTTTTTTTTTTTTTTTTTTTTTTTCGGAACCAGGGATTGAACTCAGGCTCTTGCGCTTGCCAGGGAAGTGCTTATTCCACTGAGCCATCTCCCTGACCCCTATCTTTTAGTTCTTTTTGAGGGTTTTCTTTTGTGTGTGTGTGTGTGTGTCAGATCTCATTATGTAGTCCAGGCTGGCTTTGAGCTCACTCTATAGCCCACATGGCCTTGAATTTATGGCAATCCTCCTGCCTCAGTCTCCTGAGGCATGCTGGGATTACAGCCATGTGCCACAGACTATACATATAAAGACCATGTATATAAAGGTGTGCACCTTTTACATATGGAGCTAAGTGAAATTAGTATAAAACATACATTTTCCCTAAAATTCAGTAATAGTATTTTCTCTTAGAGATAGTTTAATGTAGATTTTTCATCTGCATGGATCATAAAAATTATTTTCATCGCTATAAAAACATCCTAAATTGTATTGATAATGAAGGTCAGGTTCTACAAAGAAATTTTTGTGCCTGCAAAATTAATATATGCATTATTTAAAGCTTTAAGGTTGGGCTGGTGAGATGGCTCAGTGGTCTAAAGCACCTACTTAGAACAAGCTAAGCTAAGCAAAACACAGGAACCGCGGTTCAATCCCCAGCACCACATGCCAGCCAGGCCCGCCCCCTGGTGGGCTGAGCTGGCCACACACACACTAAATAAACAAATAAATAAACAAATATTTAAAAAAAAAATAAAATAA